TTGAGTGTGCGTAAAAAATAGAGTCGCTGGTGCGCCTTTTTGACAATGGCAGTTGTATTTGTTTCCCATTTAAGATCCTCAGTGATCCAGGTGCCCAGAAATTTAAAACAGGAGACCCTCTCTACTACCTCTCCTTTGATGATTAAGGAGGAGGGGTCCTCCTTGTGCCTCCTGAAGTCAACTATGATTTCTTTGGTTTTCTTGACATTCAGGGTCAGATTGTTTCCTGTGCACCATTCTACCAGTCTGTCAACTTCATCTCTGTAGGCTGCCTCAGTGCCATTGGTGATCTGTCCCACCACAGTTGTGTCGTCCGCAAATTTTATGATTGTATTTGAGGGGTTGGCGGAGATGCAGTCATATGTGTAGATGGAATACAGCAACGGGCTCAGCATGCAGCCTTGTGGTGCACCGGTGCTGAGAGACAGACTGGAGGATCGGTGTGGGCCCAGTCTGACTGACTGTGGGCGGTCAGATAAAAAGTCCTTGACCCATGCACATAGAGTGTTGCTGAGGCCCAGGTTGAGGAGTTTAGTGACCAGCCTGCTGGGTACAATAGTGTTGAACACTGAGCTGTAGTCTATAAAAGGCATTCTCACACTTGTCCCTTTCTTGTCAAGATGCGTTAGAGCTGTGTGGAGGGCTGTGATGATCGCATCCTCTGTGGACCTGTTAGCCCTGTAGGCGTACTGATGCTGGTCCAGGTTGGGGGGGAAGGACAGATTTCATGTGCTTCATTACCAGCCTCTCGAAGCACTTAGCAATGATGGGGGTAAAAGCACCACAGGTCTGTAGTCGTTCAGGGTGCTAATGTTGCTTTGCTTGGGCACTGGGACGATGGTGGCTGTTTTGAAGCAGTTCGGTACAGTGGCTTTGGACAGAGACCTGTTAAAGATGTCCACAAAGACATCTGCAAACTGATGGGCGCAGTCTCTGACCACCCTCCCTGGAATCCCATCAGGCCCCCCTGCCTTCCTGGCGTTCACCATTTTAAAAACGTGTCTCACTTCCTCTGCCGAAACAGTGTCATCCCTGTCAGGTGACATGTAATCTGCAGAATTAAAGTGTGAACTGTATCACAGAGGGTGAGCCTAATAAGTATGCTAACCTTTACAATAAACAAGAGTTGTTGCTGGTAAAATGACTAATAATGGCATCTGTAGAGGCATAAGTATTACTAGCAGCAACATCTGCATAATTTAATATCATTAAGCAAAACCAATAAAGAAGACTGGTTATAGTACATTCAAATAATTTATTATATTGTTGATCTATTCAATGAAAACCATTAGACTCTGTTGGCTTAATTATAGGAAAAAAAACACAATGTATCCAGAGTTTGCACTCCAGGCAAAAACTAAGCCAATTATCTTGAATATCGCACATGCATATGCTGCGCGTGCCCTAGCAACCCGGTGCGTCAGCTGTAACATGGATTACCACGTATAGCAGCATGACAAATTAAACTCAAAATTTTCTTGACTGAATGCGTTTTGTTTTTACACATCCGAATCTTTCTCTGGGCACCCAAACATCAAGGTAAGCCGAAAATGTACTGATTACATTCGACATTGGTGGATGTTGAATACGGAATTCTTTCACTCTTGCGTTTTTGGCCGATTATGCTGTCCACTGCCTCATACCACAAAAATGTATCTGTCTCATAACTTGAGTAGCAAGACTTTTGCATGGCGTCCTGCACTTTTTAGTTTGTCACGGCACAGATCTATTATTCTGTGATAACCACTGAATGTAACTACTCACGAATTATCACATAAATCTCTGAGTTTTTGCGTGTAGTAGGGGAGACCGGGGTTACCTCGTCATGATTTTGTATTTGGCTCCATAACTCTTTGTTGCTAAAACTTAGAGAAATACCTCTACAGTATATGTGTTGTGCAGAATGTTGCCTACAAAACTTGTATTGATACAATCTCAGTATAACATATATTTACGTCACAATACTCAATTTTTGATATATCACAAACATGCAGAAGCAACTCCATTCCAGGGGTTACTTCATCAGATGGGTGGGGTAAAATCGTCATAGTTGGCAATCAGCTGATTTATAATTATTATTAGTAGTAGTAGTAGTAGTAGTAGTTATTATTATTATTATTATTATTAGTCGTAGTAGTAGTGGTAGTATTAGTTGTTATTAGGCTATTACAAGTATTATTATTATTATTATTATATTATTATCTATAATATAATAGCAAAGTGGACTCTGCGTGCATGTGTGTCCGGCCAATCAGTGCTTTTATATTACAGTGAACAATGCACCATTATGATGTCATCATGTTGCGATGGTGTTTCCATAAAAACATCACGTGATCAAGCCAATTCATCCACAAGAGTCCTGAATCCCAAAAAACAGATACCAGGCCGCAAGAGAAAGTGTCTCAGTGACAACCACCTTAAAGCAGATGCAGAGTGGACTCTGTGTGCGTGTATGCGTGTGTGTCCGGCCAATCAGTGGAAAATGGCCTGGAAATGACTCAGTCACGTGACCAAAGTCCACTTCGCTTTTATATTATAGTGAACAATGCACCATTATGATGTCATCACGTTGCTATGGTATTTCCATAAAAACATCATGTGACCAAGCCAATACATCCACAAGAGTCCTGAATCCCAAGGCAATTCATCCACGAGAGTCCTGAATCCCAAAAAAACAGAGGCCAGGCTGCAAGAGAGTCAGTGGAAAACCGTGTGGAGCTGATATTTGCCATTTAGCATAATTCTGTATTTTGGGTCAAGGAAGACCCTCGCGGAAACGGCAAGTTGATAGGACCAATAGTCCTATCAAATGCAAATGCTGAAGGAATGAGAGCTAAGAGAGCCCGCAAGAGAAAGCATCTCAGTCAATGACACATCCCCCTGTGATGGCTGGTATTTCGAGACGCCAAACGCAGTGGCCGGAACGAAAGGAAGCACAGGAATGCAAGAGAGACAAACACAGACAAAATAGGAGAGAGAGACTCGCGCTTCCAAAGGACATAAATCCAGTCCGAGTTAAACAAGGAAGCAGAGCAAGCTAGACAGTACGAAACAAAGGAAAAATCTCCGGAACCGAGATAAAAAGACAAAGCAGCAGACGGTGCACAAAAATAGGAAAGGAAAGAGAAAGATTCCCTTTACTAACTTACGCTTTCCTTTTTTGCAACTAATTCCTCAACTCTTCTCTAGCTAGAGATCTTGCGGGCTACAGTGCAATGGCAACACTGACACTCTAGCAAAGGCGGCGAGGCGGAACTTGGGTTTAAATAGAGCCTGGGCGCCACCCACAATTGATGCCAGCTGGCCAAAGAATCCGATTGTGGGCAAAACGATATCGTCCCGGACGAGAGTAACAAAGAGAGCTCGCCAGCCTCCAAAAACCATGACACCCCCGAAAGACTTCAGCGCCACATTGCAAATGCTGAAAGAGATAGAACCCGAAGAGCAGTTGAAACTACTTCTAGAACCCATGGATCCCCACGGGCAATGCGCTAGTGTATAATATAATAGTGAAGTGGACTCTGTGTGCGTGCGTATCATAGTGGTTTTTTACACTCCTGGTCTGATAATATTTGCTGGGTAAAGTCCAGTATTGCAACTCCATAAATGTGATGTTTTCCTTGCGTTCTCGCTGTTTCCCGCTATATGTATGGACCCACTATATTAAATGTTTGGCAGAGGTACCAAGGTTGTCAGGGGCAACACGGTTCTCGCAAATACCCTATTCAGAGGGCTCAGTCTCTGGATCCATGTTTGGTGAATCTGGTTTTGTTCAATGCGCCACTTCCAAAGGCGCGTTCTGCCCTCATTGGAGGCTGGGAGAGCACTACCTGATTGGTTTTAACTGAGGCAGCCACAAAACCAATTTGTTTTGTGAAGGGAACATTTTGGCAAGTGATCTTAAAATGTAACGAGGTGCATTTTAGAAATGTAGTGGAGTAGAAAGTACAGATAATAACTGCGAAATGTAACGGAGTAAAAGTCAAAAGTATGGTCTATAATTTTTACTCAAGTACAGATGCATGAAAAACGTCAACTTAAGTACAGTACCGCAGTATTTCTACTTCGTTACATTCCACTACTGATCATTTGAAAGCAACACACTCCTCACCCGCCTCTGAAAGGAATTACTTTCATATTCTGTGATAAAAACAACAAAATTAACATTGTATATTAGCCAAAACGACATGCTATATTAAAATCATTCCTTCGGAAGCTTGACACAACATCTGTTGTGAATCATTAATGTACATCCATCAACGTCTCTGATCTTGTCCCAAGTTACCAATAGTGCATTTTAAATAACTTCATGACCTCAGTTTTATCAGTGCAATGTCCATGACAAACTAACATGGAAGTGAAAATAATGAATCAAGAAACTTTATGGATCAGTAACCCCGCAAATGTCAATGTGGATAGTAACCATATCAGTCAAAAAGTTCTCTCTCAACTAATTTATTGGTATGAAAGCATTTAAAAACTCATGAGATTAATGAATTCTCTTCATATTTTCTGTTCATTCTCATACTACATAATCATAACCGCAAGCGTCTCACTTCTGTCTTGCAAAAGCACAAACTAGGGGGATTTATAGGTCTTTAATTGAGATGATTTACAAATAAAAAATCAATTTACCATCCAACTAACGCAAAACAATTTTGTCCAGACATTATCCACAATACACTTTTTCTTTTATATTGTTGTTGGAGTGTGTCCCAGCATACAACCTGTAAGAGACGGGAACACACTCAGGACAGAATTCACTGCCAAAACAGATGAAAGACAGATCCACACTCATTGAGAGCTCTGTCAGTAAACCGGCTTTAAGTCCTTAAGGCTCCCCGACTCCAATCAGGACTTAATCATAATAATCCCATCTCACCTGCATATGCGCGTGTACAGACAGGAGACAAATTAAAAGAGAAATATTGTGTACATGGACAGGTATGACAAACAGAGATGCTTCTGTTCATTTTCCTAGAATGGCTTGGGTCTGGGGCGGCCCGGTGGTGCAGTGGTTAGCACTGCTACCTCACAGCCAGAAGGTCAGGGGTCCAAATCTGGCCTGGGACCTTTCTTTGTAGAGTCTGCATGTTCTCTCATGTGTTTGCGTGGGTTTTCTCTGGGTCCTCTACTGGATGGATGGTTTGGGTCCATTTGTTCCCCTTTCAGGTGGAAGGGTCACTGCAAATTTATGCTGATGGCCTCTATATCCCATGATGAAGCATTCCTACTATGATCAAAGTGGTGTCTTACTGAATGGTAATGGTACAAGGGGTCACTGAATGGTTTTATTAGTATTAAAATGATTGTAAGCATATGCCACTGCCCTAACAGACACCAGATCTCAAAACAACTTAACTCATTTGGGAGATTTAGAACAATATGTTTGACAGCACTCATCTCTGTCACCATCATCGAAACATCAGCTGAAAGAATTTCTCCTAAAAGAAAGGTACTCCATTACTCCAGAGAAGTTTTTCACTTGTAAAACGTGTTTGGGCTGATCTGGCACCTCGCTAAAATTGTTTATGTAGATCTTTCTATTAAGTTGTCACCCATCTGTACATACTGTATGATTAGTTTAGACACAATAATATGATGCAGTAGCAGCACTACATACATCACACTGAGGATGTGGAGTGGTCACAAAGCTGAAGAGGTCTAAAATGCTGTTTAATTCACTCCCAAAAATATTTCTACTTCAGGGCCTATCCTGAATAAAACCATTCGGTACCGAGCCCTACGGCTGAAAACCATGCAGTTTTGCGATTTCTGTTAAAAGGGCAAAGACATTGTTATGTCCATGTGTGTTCCTTTGCACAACCTCATAATGTAACTTATCACTGAAGCCAGGGCTGGGCAATTGCATGGGTGGAAGAATGTAAACACTGCCTGATAGCTACATAGCTAATGGAATCTCCCCTCTGAGAACACAGCACCAACGTGCCGTGCAAGAACAGGGTGCAAAGTTCATCATCAACGAAACGCAACAGCCAGAGGGAAGCAGATAAAATAAACTGAGATTGCACTGTGCGATAGCTATATAGCCAGTGGAATCTCCCTTCTGAGAACACAGCACCAGCGTGCTGTGCAAGAACGGGGTGCAAAGTTTGTCATCAACGAAATGCAACAGCCAGAGGGATGCGAAATAAAATGAAGTGAGATTGCACTGTGCGATAGAGATTTTTGAGTTACCACTGTAGTATTTTATCTTGGAATTGTCAAGGCTAAAGCCAAACAACTTTTAAATTAAGACACAGCATCACTTAGCCCTCTGTTGCTTTAGCGTAAAGTGAAATGGTTGCCATGTTGATATTAGACTGGACATCGTACTCCTTCGCAGATAGGGTTGTGAATTAAATCAGAAACTGATCAATCAAAAAACTAAATAAATAAATTAATTTATAAATAACCAATCAGAGAGCGACAGAAAATAGACTATTCTCATGAAAACACATACAGGTCTTTGGATTCAAGTGAGCGGACTTTCCATTGTGACACCTCAGAGAAAAAAGCAATTTGTCCAAGATAATATGCAGTGACAAGTATTTCATGAATGTTTTAACTTCCCTTAAATAAAATGCAAGGAAGCAGAGATCAAACAGTAAAATTTGTTTCACACAGCAGTCATTTAGTTGAAGTATGTTTATCAATCCTCCAAAAACGCATGTTCTATTGTATAATAATCCTATCCAATGCTCGCCTAACCACAGATTGTAGATGCTCAAATTTGAGCAATCATGAGCCCATCGGCAGAGAATGAAAACATTCTACAACTATGTACATTTTTAAAATTTTAATCTAATAAATCAAAGGCAAGAGCAATGAAAGTGAAACTACATATTCCATAAGCATAAAAATATTCAGGACTCAAGCAGACATGACTGCACATGTTCTCCTTGGAAAAAAATCCTGTTGCTGTGAGAAACACCTAGGTTTTACGTTTGCCGGGAAATTCAGGTGTGGTTCGGCGGAGTGCTCCGCATGGCTGAGAAGTAATCATTAATAAGTTGAGCCTTGTAAAATTGTGGTAACTATCACTTTCGTGGGGAAATTTCTGAAGACGCGTACAAGGAAGTTACCAGAGAGACACTGCAGAAGGTACCAGAGTTGCACACACGGTGAGTTACTTACCTGACTATGGTATATGAGTGGTTATTATACCTTTTACAGAAATGACAGTTTGTTTAACTAAAGCTACAGATGATATCAAAGGGCAGCCAATACCCTCTAATGAATTAAATTCTGAAAAATGTGCAAGAGGCTTGCTTGATTTCACATTTTTGTGGGTCATTACAAGGTTTTTGGATAACATTACTCTCCTCAGTGATTCTCTGACAAAACAGACCATTGTCCACGAGTAACTTACAAGGATTTACTGGTGGATTTTACGGCTGCTTCACCTAATGTTTTTGAGTTTTATTTAATGTTTCTCTTGCAGTGAATTGTAATGATTCCCTGTATCCAGTTCTTTTAGCAGTTTATTTGATTTGAATTTCTGATTAGAATGCATTACAGCAAATGCAGTTAAGATTACCAAGTGAATGGGCTGGTTGACTATATCTGTTCCCCAAACATGAATCGACAAAGGAGAAAAATGTTCATATTCAAATATTTTTTTGACATTGTGGTAATTGAAGTAACAATATAATTTACCTGGAAAAATGTAGACTTAGATGGCTAATGTGCAGTACTGCATACAGAATTACTTTATGCCTGTGGCAAAGTACTCACTATATATTGTTATTGTCATGGAGCGCTCTATACTGATAAAAACAGGCAAGGGGAAATCCAGGAATGAAAATATTGGTACACTTAATCAACAAGAGTATGACACACAATATATTCAAGACACACCCCTGAAAAAAATAATTAAAAAATGAATTCAATAAATAAATAAAAATTATTCTGCCATTCATCCGTTTTGTCAATAAATGGCTGATAGCAGTTGGTCTGAAGTTTTTCCAAGCATAAAATTTTTGTCCTTGTTGGAATGAGATTTGAAATAATATATTAGTGCTGATTGAACTTTTTTTTTTTAACTCAAATACAATTTTTGTGCCCTTTTTACAATTAACTAAGCCAATAAATTGCAGCAAAACAACAGCATTAATGAGTTTTAATAACTAAATTGTGTTGTAGAATCAGGAAGTATATTTGCACATGATAGAATGTTTCTAATAGATGAGTTCTCCACATTGTGTAATGGAAACAGCATCAAGGATAATATTTGAATAATCTAAGTGTAGAGTCTAGAGCTCATGGCGCAAGTACATTTATGCATGTCCAAATCCACCTTTGGTAGTTTGACGGCGGATAATCTGAGCCCATCGTAAGCAGTGTGCAAAGTGTTGTTCTTCGTCTCTTAATTAATCATAGGTGTGTTTTGGGCATAACATAAAATAAACCAATCAGTTTATCTCCCATTCCCTTTGACAGCCAGGTTCTCTTGCAACATAGGTAATTGCTATTATAATGGCAGATTTGCAAAGTAGTTGGAAAGAATGCAAGATCTGTTTGCGCACAAAATAAGGCATTGTATATTTATCTGTCCTGTTATCAAACAAGTTTAACACAGCTTTAAACGGAGGCTATGCAGACCCAAAGAGAAAGTGAAGTGAGAGTTTTATTTGTTTTTTGGAAAGGTTTATTTTTCTTAATTATACCCTTTTTAAAATCATTTTGTTCCATCATAGAGCAACAGGTAAAATCAGTGGGGTTTTAATTGCTGTAAGTAAGACATTCCAATGACTTTAATCACCAAAAAGGTTAATAAAGAATAGTGTAGGCACATTGTGCACCTGCTTATGTAGGTGCACATTACTATCTTAATAATACGCCCTAAAAATAACAAACTGCTGACCATTGACTTAAGACTAGGTTTTTGATGGTCAGTCGCACCATTGCTACCCGCTGCCTCAAGACAGCAATTTTATTATCAACACACCCATAAGCACTTAAATGAGCGCAAGTACATTTGGTATTTAAATGATGTGGGCACTGGAAGGAAAAATAACAACAGTGTCAGTGTGAAACAAGTAACAATACTTTTGTTGCACTTGGCTTCACTTTGCAACAGGTTTTGGTTACTGTTGGTCAATCGCACAATTGCTCTCCACTGCCTCAGCATAGCAATGCACCTGACCACACCGTATTTGAAGATCAATAAAACCAGGGGAGCTCAGATGGGCGCAAGTACATTTGCGATTTAAATAACGTTGGTGCTGCATGGGAAAATGGCGACTGGCATCGGTCTGAAACTAGCAAAGGCACTTGAATTGTGTTTGGCATAGCTTTGCATCAGGTGCAGGACTGAGCCCCAACTGTACGTTTGATTGAGCGATAGTCAGAAGCTTATGGTAAACTTTGTTTAAATGAGCCAGATCATCTTTTCACTTGAGACATATTTTTGATGTTAACACTGCCTATGGCAATTCTCACATTCACAATGATACTCACAAACTAGAAGGCACTCAGAGAGTGCATTACGCTCGCCCTGTTACGATTTGTTGACAGAGTAACAATCATTGTGAAAGTGACTGTTAAACAAGTCTCGACAAGTGCTGTCTTAGCACAAATGGAAATTCTTAAGTCACATTTTCACACACCACGAGGTAAAGATGGGAAAATGTCTTATATAGTTGTCTAAGTCGATTTTCTCTATTTTCTCAAATTGGACATTTTGTGATGTAAGTACTGAAGCTCCTGGGTCTTCAATTGTCTGGTGAAGGTTATTGGAAACACTACATTATTAAGTAATGATAGATTTTTTTTTATTTATAGCTGTCCTAAATGTCCTTTCATGTTCAATGCTGCTTTTGGGGTAAGGAGCTCACTGTTTGACTCTCAGAAAAGAAAGTTATGTAAAAGTGCCATAAAAGGTGCTCTTAACTGGGGTGGAGAATAATTGGTATATAAAACTGAATTTCTTGCCGGCCACAGGAAATTCATTTTTCCCTTTTCGCTTGTAATAAATGACTTACTAGTACCATAATCGAACATATTGTGCTTTTGGGGTGTATATGCAAGATGTATTCCTTAAAATACAAAAACCAACCATGATTTCTGTG